ATTCCTCATATTTATTAATTTTATCTAAATTACCTTTATGGATATTCTCTCAACCATAATCAAGTAGTATAAGAAGATGGTATTAAGAAGATGATTATAGTATTTTAGAAAAAACCTGTCATACTTCTTATAATTAATTAACTTACCTAACTTCCTTAATCTGATCAAATTAGTTAAATAGGTTTATATTAAGAACCGAAAGAGAGACATTTTTTTTTGGTACGAAACCATCCGGTATCCGACCGCCCGATTACCTGAGCTATCAACTAATCCGGATTCGGGCCGGGCAACAAGTAAAGCCCTCCCCGGTACCCTTTTTAACAAGTGAGGTTTCGAACCCCCGTTCTCAAAGAGCAGAGGACCCGCCTCACTTGTGACCTACCAGTCACTACTAGGTCAGGAGTAGTCGTAAGAAAAGTACACATATTTTTGTTTATCGAAAATTCATACAAACTTTGCATTACATGTATTTTTTTTAAATATTATCCCTCATATTTAAATCCTAACTTCATCCCTAGCCGTTTTTAGGGATCTTTTAACTCTGTCTGTGGCTAGATGTTTATGTTAACAAGGGTTGTCTGGTTAAGCACATGGATGGGGGTTACAGGGATGCTGCAGGCAGCTTTTAGTTGTGCGCGTGAGTTTTGTTTGGAGTGTTGTATTTATTGTAGTACAAAAGATAAGGCTTATAACGCGTTTAGAACAGTTTATAAGTAGTTTATAAGTTGTTTTTTTAATAATAATTTACAGAATACGAGATAAATATGTAAGATGTGTTTTATCTCTGTTTACGCAAAACTTGCTTATAGGAGATTTTCATCGTTCTGCTAAACGGGGCCTTAAAATAATGACGGAGTTGCCGTCATGTGACTTAAAGGTCAAGGGTTCAAATCCTAAAAATTTCTGATAAGTTTGGCATCGCTCAAAAACACTTAAAAAATATTTTTATAATGTGCGACGTAAATATGTGAAAAGAAATTTGTGTCAACTTGTAAAAAAACACTTTTTTTAAAGTGTTTTTGGTGTTTTTCAAATGCCGGGGGTCTTTTCGTTTACAAAGATAAGACTACACATATTTATTTATTTATTTATTTTGTTACAGACTACACATATTTATCTATCCCCAAACCCCACCTGGTGAGAGTTTTATGCACTGGTCCTTATTGTGTATATAGCAAAGGTACTTTTTTTTTCTTCTTAAAATGTAATCGTTGTTTATCAAATGTTGGATTGTCCTCCAATTGAGTTAAATTTTCAGCGTTTCTTTTCCCCAGAGTCTATAGGTAGTTAGAGTTTTAGGATCTATTTAGGATAGATTATAAATAACTTTTCAATCATAATTTACAAATATGATTTACAAAATAAAATAAGTATGTGAGAAGAGTTTTGTTTCAAATTATGCGAATTTGAACACCATCCCAAACAGGCATCGAAACTTGATGCTAAATGTTAACTGCCATATCCTTTTATCTCTCAGGTTACTTGGTTAGGGTGGTTGTAGCATCTTTGTTTGAGATAGGGCCTGTTTGGGTATCCCAAAACCGCAGTTTCAGAAGCACTTTTCCGCGAAACGAGATAATCTCCTCCACATATTTATTTCGTAATCCGTAAAAGCACTTCTGAAATCATGGTTTGGTTTCTATCCAAACACACCCATATGTACTCAATCTTGTGAGCCATATTCTAAGTTGGTGTTTGTTATGTGTTGTTGTCGTATATGTCTTGTATTTCTGTATATTTTTAATGCTGTATTAATGTTCCATTCACACAAGTATATTTCTGGTCAAAAAATTCACACAAATATATTTGATCGTTTTATTAATTGAAAAAAAAGGAGAAGAAAGCTAACAGTCAAGTTGATAGCGAGCGAAAGAGCTCCGTACTGTAAATATTTCCAGATATATCAGAAAACATTTACTCTGATTCTCTGTCTTACGTCACATATAACACTCCTTAGGTCATAAATATAAAATTTATTTTGTAAAATAAATTACACTATAAAATGAGTTTTATATTTAGATTATAAAATGAGTCTTATATTTAGGATAATAGGAAGTAACTTTTTATGGACAAAACAAAACTCATGGAAAATACAACAACAAAAATGAAAAAACAGTGATAAGCATAGTGATGCTTATCAAATTCAACTTTTCAAATTTAAAATAGACAACCGAGATTTAATTTTTTATATTTTTGTTTTTTAAAAAATATTTTTTAGTAATTAAATAATTCAAAATAAATGTAATCTTTTAACCATAAGTTTTTTTAAAAATAGTTTTTATTTAAAAATTATTGATGAAAAATTTTAAATTTAGACTATTAAAATTATTTTTGAGTGGTGAATATTTTGAGACTGATTTCTGAGAATTGTGTCCCCTAAGTGAATCCCATGAAACTGAACTCATTTAAAATTTGGCCCCAAAAAAATGCAACATGCCAGCATCATCGGAGGACCCGAAGTGTTACCCGCATTCAACCTCAAATATAACTCCGATCTTCTTGTCATCATTACATCAAACACGTCCAAAGTCACCACTTGCCTTTTCTTAATAAGAAATAATTTAAAGTTGGTTTAAAAATAATTTAAAAAAGAAAAGATTGTGGTCGAAATCGGGTTGTCTCATGTGTTCAGAGGGGCCACGTGGCTCATAGATATTTAGTGATATGATATGTCCATTATTAGTTCTGCTTTATAGACTGGATTTAATAATGAGGTGGACCCACGACAGCTATGAACAAGAATTTATGAGAAGTTAGGATTTACGAACGTGCGTATCAAATTTTTTAAAGCAGTACTTCTCATTCTTAATATAAAATTTTATTTTATTTTTATTTTAATTCTAAATATAAAACCTTAATGTATTTTATCTTTTATATTTATATATTTTTTTTCTAAAATAACTCTTTTAATAATGATAGTTCTGGTCAATACACTTGACTAGTAAGGATATTTTAGGAAAGATAACACTTATTTAGGACAAATAACTAATTCAACTTACTTCCTTAATCTCTTAAAATTAGTCAACTGGCTCTTATAATTAGGATTGGACGTAATATTATCATAAGCAATTTCCCACTCATATAATTTTAGTTTTTTTTTTTTGAAAAGGTTTTCTTATAATGTAGCCTAACCGTACAATTTTTTGCCAATTTAAAATCTAGTCATGAACTTGGGGTAATTAAGTTTTATGCAAGAGATTCGACGTCCTCAAATTGAAGTCTTTTAAATAAACAATTATATCGTTTTGCTCAAAAAAAAAAACAATTATATCAAGAAAGTCATCTTACACCATTTTAACTTGAAGGTCTGTTAATGCCTGAGTATGAATTAATTATTAATCCCTGGAAGTTAAAAAAAACTTTTTTTTATTTCTCTTTCTTTCTTTCTTTGTCCCCCCCCCCAACAAGCTTTGTTCATTGTTTTCTCCTTTTTTGGGGCAACCTTAAAGGGCTTAAAACCCAAGCCCAGCCCACCATCGAAGAATACCAAAATAAATATGTTTTGAGTAAGTCAAAATGTTAACCGGATTGAAATAAAATCTGGTCCTGAATTTCCAATAATACCCAAACATCCTTCAGTTTGTTGCTGTATATTCAGTCATTTACTTGTTTAATCTTCACACGTTTTTTTTTTAAAATATCAAGCGTGGTCCCTGCTTGGCAGATATTTATGATTTATGCTCACAGATATAATAAAAAAATGCTATCTAGGTGTAGTATTTTCGGCTGGATGATTGATGAAGCATATGTCCACTAATAACTTTATTAAAATAAGATTAGGTCTCGTACATGTGTGCAGAGTTAGAAATAAGCCAATATTATTTATAATTTTAGGATTTAAAAAATGTATAACTAACAATATCTTTTCATATTTTATATTGTTTAGTATATATATGGTTAACATACAAATTTGTCTCAGAAATTTTTATTCAGGAATGCTGGGCACTAGAAATTTTTTTATAGTGCAAATTTGTCTAAAAAATTTAAAATCCTAACAATATTGTCCACTGTCGTTAAAAAATAAAATGTCAACATTATTTTGTTTAATAATAAGAGACAATATTACTATGATTTTAAATTCTTACAAAAAAAAGGCTTGTAGGTGTCCATCCCCTCGTATGTGAATTCAACAAGTAAAAAGGTTGGACACGCTCACTAAGGAAAGGGATTTGACCCTGAAACACGTCACAGTGTTGGCTGTAAAACTATGACATTGGGCAGGGTTGTGCTTAAGGGTTAGTTGTCATACTTTTAGATTGTGGATGAACCCAACTCTTCTTTTAAAATTTTTATCACCAAAAAAAAAACAGCTTATAAGTGTCTAACACTTTTTAAGTGAAAACTTTTCAAAAAAAGTTTATATTTTAATCATATACATTTGCGTTATATCAGGAAGGATTAAATCTTGATCTCTCAAGACCCACTATAAACATAATTATTTGTGTAAAAGGTAAAATAAAATAAATTATTTTTCTGGCCTTAAATATAAAATTCATTTTATAGTGTAAATTATACTATAAAATGAGATTTATATTTAGGATTGGAGGACTAGTGACTACGTATATTTTGAATGAGCTTAATTGATTGATCTTTTTAAAGTTAATTGGTCTAAAATGATAGAATGGATGGTTAACCAATTAAAAATGTATTAAAATACAATAATAAAAAATAGAGCATGAATTAAAAAGTTAAACTACCCGTTAGTCCTTTATTCCTTCAATTCTATAAATGCTTAAAGATATTTAGCCTATGTTTTTTTAAATTTTATCATATTTTATTACTTATTATATTATGCAATTGAATCTGTTAAATAATTTGATTAATGATTCAGTTAAAATACTTTTAAAATTCAAATTAAATTGAAACAATTAAGAAAGTTAATGGGAAAAAATAATTTGACCTAATTTCTTTTAATTAAGCCTTCAAAGAAAATGAGAACGGTAGCAAGGACGACTTTACAGGTGAACTGAGAATTCCACGTCCCAAATCCGAACGCAGGGAAAAGTGCAAGAGAAACTAACCGAAGAAACTCTGACAATTTGCTCATAACCACCATATCCGTATGAGCATACGCAATCTTATTACCAACACAGAAACAAAAACCTAATGCTCTTTGGCGTTGAATCTCTTCGACTCTCATTCTTCTTCTGCCTCTTCTAATTCTTTGATTTCCCTCTCTCTGAACTCCAAATATCTCGGTGTTCCTAATCGAATTGCTTACGAAATAGCTACTCATTGCACGATCCTGTTCACGGGCGTGTTCAATTTGCCTTCTACGGCAGTTGGTGATGGGGCAGAGCCAAAAGTAGGGCATCCGCATTGATTTGGTATAATATTCTATCGCGGAGTGATATAGGATAGGAAATGAGCACGCCGAATCGGGCTACGGTGAGGGACCTTGTTGATGAAGCGAAGAAACGGATTGTCTTCCTGGTCATATGCGTCATAGGACTGTCATATCTCATGTCGTGTAAGTGTCCTGTTATCGCTTTGGTGTATTATTTGAAATTATGATTCTTTCTAGTTCAGTTGGGCATAAATCGATCATCTGTGTTTCTGCTGCCCCCTAGTTCCTTGGGGCTAAACTTCTATTTTTGTTATTTCGTAGAATGTTTATTTTATTAATTCAAACTCAGAGCAGCTACTTGCCTACTTGGGTATGCACCTAGCTCTGTGTTGTTCATTTAGTTTGGGCATCCCTTTTGACAGCCTCTTTGTCGTTTTGCCGATCAGTGTTAGCCACCACTTTCCCACTGTGTAAATAATAATAGGATTGTGATGGCATTTATCCTGAGTTACATACTACATTGAGCTACCGTATTCTACTAGAATCGCGTTGGGGAAACTATAGTAAACACTGAATTCAATACGCAAAATCATGGCCTTATCGTTCTGTTTGTTTCCCCGATTAATAAAAAGACTCCCTATCGTGTTTAACATGAGAAGACAGGATTTGATCCATGATCGAGGTGTACGACTTTCTTTACTAGGAGTTACATTGAAATGTTTTCTATGGAAAAAGTTCTGCTTGCCTCCGATTCTCCCGCTTGTTGCTCTAAGAAAGGTAGCAGCGAACGGCTTCTCTAGTTACTAACATTGTTGCTCAATTATTGACTTTGCGTGCTTCGTTTGTAGAATACCGAAATAATTTAGTTGAGTTACTGCATTTACTCACAGACCAAGGATAGATGGTCATGTTGGCAACTGCGATCTATTTTCAACTTTAAGGATCCCTACTTTCTTCTTTGGTCAGGTTGGCGATATGTTACTTGTCAACCCTGAGGCCCTTGGCAGTCTCCACCTTCTTCCCTGGATAGGTCTTCATATTCTAGTTTAGCGTTGAACAAGTAGAAGGTTTACAAGGAACTTTCATGATAGCTGTTCATTGAGAAAAATGGTATAACAAATGGAGCAAGTTTAAGACAAGACATTAGATAAATTGACTGAGTAAGTGATTTTATATCTCAGTGTTCCCGAACTCCCTCTTCTCCATAAACAACGGCTGTACTCATTATGAAGAAATCACATAATTATTTAAGCAAATAATCTTCTCTTTTCTCTTACCATTTAAACTTAATTTTCTTGACACGTGGAAAAGTTCATTTCCCATTGTGTTCTAGCTCTCTTGTCTTGTCCTCTCTTGCTCATGTAAGTCCCCGTTATCCCATCCAAACATGCTGTTATTGAGGTTTGTCTTGGAACTGAGCTCAACAAAGCATACCTCTCTTCTGGTTGTGTATTTTCTTTTCTTCAATCCACTGCTTAATTATTGGATTTGTTTTATTGGTTTACAAGACTATTTATTGGTTAACGAGACTAAGTATTGATAACATGATCAAAATACTACTTGGAATAGGTGTCAGCAAACTTAGTTTTAGAATAAAATTTGAGATTAATCTTTTCCTTCTGTATTCAATATCTGGTATTTAAACTCTTGTCTTGTTTACTTGATTGGTATCTTTTTCAACCTATATCAAACGTCCATTACGTGTTTTGGTTATACTTCAAATGTTTGAAGTGTGTCTCACACGCTTGAGATGATGTTTTTATATCCTGTTCTGAGTGTCTTATTTATTTCCCTACCTTTCATTTCAGTGACAAGTTCCTCAGTTTGGGTCAACTTACCTGCTGCAGCCTCCTTAATTATTATCCTCCGTTATTTATCACTTGATTTTGATATGAAGAGAAAAGCTGCTGCATACAACAATAAGCCTGGCTCCACCGGTGATCAGTCTTCAAAGAAACCTCCTGAATTTTCTAAAGTTGTTACAAAGTCTGATTGGAGAGTGAAAGTGAATTCTCCTGTTGTTGAGGAGGCCATAGACCACTTCACAAGACATCTCGTTTCTGAGTGGGTGACAAACCTTTGGTATTCTCGCTTGACACCAGATAGAGAGGGTCCAGAGGAGTTAGTGCAAACAATGAATGATGTTATTGGGGAAATATCAGGACGTGTGAGGAATATAAATCTAATTGATCTTTTGATAAGGTGCTTTTCCCCTCTCTTGATTTCACTCTATTTTAGGTCATAAGTTGACAAACTGGGTGTTAACTTTTCTTTTATGTTTCAGGGATCTTATTCATCTCATATGCACACATTTGGAGCTGTATCGTGTTACTCAAGCAAAGATTGAAAAACAACTTTCAGGTTCAGTTACATTTGAAGGTCGAGATGCTGAACTGAAACTTGCGTTGGCTTCTGAGAACAAACTGCATCCAGCTTTATTTTCTGCTGAGGCCGAACATAAGGTTTGGAACTTCATTGCTTTACATATAACTAATAATTACTCTTTGGTATATAGTCTCTCTGTTTTTCTCCCCCCCCTAATTTTTTGGGAATTATGCTTTGAAATTGTTAATGGGCAGGTTCTGCAGCATCTGACGGATGCTCTTATGTCTGTCACCTTCAAGCCCGAGGACTTGCAATGCTCTTACTTCCGATATACTGCAAGGGAGCTTCTGTCATGTGCAGTGATGCGACCTGTCCTAAATTTAGCTAGTCCGAGGTATCCATTTAGAGTCATTTTGCTTCTTTTAATGTATTTTGTTATTCTTATTCTCCCTAATTTCTGCTGGCAGATTTATTAATGAAAGAATTGAATCTGTAGTAATCAATATGACCAAGGTTAATAAAGGGGCTACTGCAGTTGAAGAAGCATCTCACTTCAAAGAAGAAGGATCGCCGGATTCATCTGACCCCTTCTCTTTAGATCCTTCTGTTACTGGCGTTGAGCTTGTGCAGCTAAGAAATGGCACCTCCAAAAAAACAAAGTCATCTGCAGAAGATAATGCCAATGATAAATTTTCAAAAGACCCATTGCTTTCAATAAATGCTCAATCATCACGTTCATGGAGCTCACTGCCTGCAAAGTCCCAAACTAGTGATGATCTGGCTATTCAACGCCATCGCTCAGGAGGAGAGTGGGGTGAGATTTTAGATCAATTCTCTCGCAGAAAGACTGAAGCCCTTGCTCCCGAACATTTTGATAACTTGTGGACAAAGGGGAAAAATTATAAGAATAGGGTAGAAGAGAATCAATTGAATAAGCAGTTGCCACAGAATTCTGTGGCAGAAAAATCTCTAATGGTGAGTCCTGTAAAGGCTTTATCTAGACCAAAAGAAAAGGAGACTACTTGTAAGCTTAATCCATCCAAGGACATCAATGTTGATTCTAGACACAACACTCAGTACAGCGTAGAAAACCCAATATTTCAGGCTGACATGAATGGATCAACATGCCCTTCTTTAACATCATATCAAAATGACGGGCATGAATACATGCATTTGCAGACGGTTGATTCAGGTAGCACTACTTCTTATGACTCTGAAGATGATGAAACTATAACTGGTCTTGATTCCCCTGTAACTAAAGTTTGGAATGGAAAGAGTAACAGAAATCAGGCGGTTTCTCATATTCATCACCCACTTGAAAATTTTGATGGTCGTACCACCAAGAAAATGAATAAGAGGCATTCTCACTATCAGAGACCACTGAAAACTCGATCTGGCTGGAAAAGGTCTAGGCCAAGTGGTCATAACACACATACTTGGCAGGAAGTAGAGAGAACCAGCATTTTATTTGGTGATGGACAAGATATACTTAGTTCTATGAATAAACATGCAAGCTCTGAAGACTCTAGTGATGAGGCTGATCCTGAAAATTTAGGTAGAATATACAGTGGAGCAGCTGCTTCTTCTTCTGCATCCTTCATTTCTAAATCAGAAGCTTCTGTTAATTCCCTGAAAAGTTCCTTGGCGACAGATTCCTTTTTTAAGTTGAGATGTGAGGTACTCTTTCATTATTTTCTATAACTCCCTTGACCTATGAAACTTAAAAGTTTTTATTCTGGTATATATGTGAGAAAAATGGTAAGCCGATCCCCTGATGCAGGTCTTAGGTGCAAACATTGTGAAGAGTGACTCAAGAACATTTGCTGTTTATTCCATATCTGTTACAGATGTAAATAATAACAGTTGGTCAATTAAAAGAAGGTGACGAGTCTTTTTTCTGTCTTTAAGCCATGTGTTTTTATATTCCTCCGGCCCTAAATATAAGACCCACTTTGTAGTGTAAATTACACTACAAAGTAGGTCTTATATTTAGCACCGAAGGATTACTATTTTGTCAATATGATTATGTCTTCTTATACTCTGAGGCATGCATAACTGATGTTTAATTTTAATCCCCAAGGTTTCGTCATTTTGAGGAGCTACATAGGCGTTTGAAAGAGTTTCCTGAATATGATCTTCATTTGCCTCCAAAGCATTTCTTGTCAACAGGTTTGGATGTGCCTATCATTCAAGAGCGATGTATATTGCTGGACAAATATCTAAAGGTTAGCAACTCAACTGACTTTTTTTTTTTTTTTTTGGGTTCCTCCCATCACCCATCCAGCTACTATAGCATGATAATACAGATTGTCTGTAAACTTAAGATGTTTTAAATGACATTTGGAACAAATTCCTTCTATTTTCTCCTTTATTGGAGTGTTTATTAGTTCTTAAAACAATCAAAAGTTGGTCTCTATTTTCCTAGTTTATTGGTGTATTTTCGTTCTCAACCAATCCATTCCTTTTGATTAAATAAGAATGAATTAATTGGTTTCAGCACTGTCTTAGAAACGGAATATCAATGTATTAGTTCAACTATTATAGGTGTTGGGTGAATCTCTGTTTTAAGATATTGCTTCGTTTGCATGTATTGTATAGTGTTATTATTATTGTTATTATTTTTTTTTGTTTGCTAATGATGCACTTCCTCGCTTTCTTGATTTCTGTTTGTTTTTCTTCAGAACCTCATGCAGCTTCCAACAGTTTCAGGATCAATTGAAGTATGGGACTTTCTCAGTGTTGATTCGCAGGTCCAATTTTTTGTCCCTCATTTCAACGTTGTGTTGCCTAGTGGTTTTGTTTTTCTTGGATTATCTCTTATTACTGTGTCTTATTTTGCAGACTTACCTATTCACGAATTCATTTTCTATCATTGAAACATTGTCAGGTGACTCATGTTTGATGGATAGTGTTGTGTGGCGACAATTTGATTTTGCCCCACTCTTTTTTGACTTGTTTTGCATTTCTTTGTTTATTAAAATCTATCCTAGTTGACCTGAAAGGCAAGCCATCTGAAAAGACTGGAAGAGCTTCTAATTTGTCCACATCTGCGAGTGGCCCCTTGCTCTCAAGGAGAGAAAACCATAACACAGACAATAAGGATGCTGCTTTGCGAGGAAGAAATAATCACATGGCCGATGGACTAAGGTCAAAAGAAAATTCTAGCATTAGTGCAGATATTAAAGCATCAAAGAATGCACCATCTCCGAAGAACTTACCAAATACAGTGAAAGGAAGCAAGCCTAATGGTTCAGACAAGGAACATAATTCACCCCATAATACTTCATCTGATGCTATTCCTACCGAGGTGATCTCAAGATAACTCAAGTCTTCTCTAGTTGTCACTTAATGTCTCATCTCTAGTTCTGTAATTTTTTTTTTTTGGTGAAGACATTCTGTAATATTCAGTGCGAGTTAATATTCAATTATTGACGTGTTTCCTTTTAGAACATTTATTAGATGTGTGAATCATGATGGAAGCTGGTACTGATAATATTGCATTCTTTGATGCAGTGGGTTCCACCAAATTTGAGTGTACCCATATTGGATCTGGTTGATGTTATCTTCCAGGTTCAAGATGGTGGCTGGATTAGGTAGCTTATTAAATCATGTTTATCCTAAATATAAAATATTGGTTTTGAGATCCACAAGCTAAGTTTTGCTTATAATGTTTAGCTTGTGTTCGATGCAGGCGGAAGGCTTTTTGGGTAGCCAAACAGATTCTTCAATTAGGAATGGGTGATGCCTTTGATGATTGGTTGATAGAGAAAATCCAGCTTCTGCGTAAGGGATCTGTGGTTGCTTCTGGGATCAGCCGAATTGAACATGTAATTTTGTGACCTGCTTTGTTATAGAATTTGTAATGTTCTGGAAACTTGCCATTTAAGTATCCATTAGCTTTGATAAATTTCTGGACGCCTACGTCTTGTATTATTTACTTAATATAATGTTCATACCTGATAATGTTTCTGGGCCGTAATTGAGCTCTCTAAGAAGCATATGAAAGGAGCAATGTACTTGATGTACAATTCTTTGATAAATACATGATATGCTGATACAAGCCATTGTGCTACTTCTATAGATACTCTGGCCTGATGGAATATTCTTAACCAAGCATCCGAAACGAAGGCCGCCACCTCCAAGCTCGTCTCAGAATTTACCTCCTGGCCAACAATCTCCAGCAGCATCTTCTCCTAGGTTGGACGATGAACAGCAAGAGGAGGCAGATCGACGTGCAAAGTTTGTGTATTCACTAATGATAGGTGATGCATGTCATCTCGTTTGTCCATTATTTAAGTCTGTTGATTGCACAGTGAAGCAAATTAGTTTTATGATCCTTTCTTTTTAATCATCTGGAAATAAGGAATTAAAGACAAAATAATTCAAAGTTGTCTTTAATTGCTTTTTCTGGACAACGTTACTCCAATTAAAATAAATTGGTCGTGATTGCACTATTGAGTGTATGTCAGTGTGTTGACGTTGTTCAGATTGAAATTAGGACTAAATTTTTCTTATAAACAAACTAGAGGGACCAAAAATGCAATTTGCCTAATTTCATCTCTATTTAAGTAGGTGGATTATCTCAATTATAAAAAAGATAAAATAATATTGCTGCTTCTTTCCTGCTTCTGCTTGCTACGTGCATGCAGATCATGCACCATTAACAATTGTTGGTCTTGTTGGTCGCAAGGAGTATGAACAGTGTGCTCGGGATCTCTATTTTTTTCTACAGGTAATTTCCTCTTAATTGCTTGATGTTTTTATGTTCTCGGAGGAGAATATTTGTTTCTGCAGTGTTGTTGTTAGTTGTAACATCAACACTATACTTTTGGGTTACATCAACCCATAGTGTCTGTTTTATTTATCCTACGTTAGTTTCAATCTGTCCTATGAATATTGCACTTTTAATTCACTAGCTTCACTTGGATCATGATTATCTGTTTTTCAAGACATGTATTCCTATAATTAGCTTTATGATCTTGCTACTCTGCACTATTGCCATTCATCTTATCATAGTTTAGTTTGGTTGCAATTCAATGACTCTTGTTGATTCCCTTGTCACAGTCATCTGTGTGCTTGAAGCAGCTGGCTTATGACCTTCTCGAGTTACTTATATTATCGGCATTTCCAGAACTAGACTACGCCTTCAAGCAGCTTCATGAAGAAAAACACAAATTTGGTGAGTTTAAATCTAAGTGAAGATGATTACTTCCAATTTAGCTCCTGAGAAACATTTTGATGGATGCTTGGTTTTCGTATTGCTTACGTTCTGGTTGCCCCATTTATCGCCGCAACCTGCCATGCCATCCATTGATTTTTGCTCGCAGCGCAACTATTTTTGTAAATTCTGATAGCAATGCTATTATTTCATCTTTACATGATAGTCTTTTATTGCCTCAACTTGAATAGTAATTTAAAATTTAAGATAAACCCAACACTTAATTAAAATGACAACATTTCATGGCAAGTATAGCTGGATGTCACAAGTTTAATCTCTGCGAAATTACCCGAGTGCCATGAATTCGTGGATAGGATGAAAGCACTCAAGCAGTGATCACAGGTCCACGTATTTGGTTTAGAAAAATGAATATGCATGATTGCATTTTCTGTTCATAAACTTACATGTGGAGACTGTACTATTAAAAAAACAAAAAAGCATATATGTGGATGCTTATTTTTGCTACTGCCGGAATTCTTCCAACGCAGACGACAAGGGATACAAAGAACCTTGGTTTTTTTTCCCTCCAGTTCTATTTGGAAGGAATTTTTTTAAATCTTTTTCACAAGTCACGATATAAGATATTGATTACATTTTTCACGCTGCCCTTATTCAATATTAGTTTCTATCATCTAAACTTGATCCTTTGCCTACTGAAAAATAGTTAAATAAGGATAAAATTGAAAATTTTGTTAATTTTTATATTTAGTAGTTTTAAACTCTTTTTTAGTTCCAATGAAAATGTTAGAAGTGACTTGTAAAAACATGAAAATATGTCCGATTCTTTATTTTAAAATACTTGTCATTTAATATTTAATACTATTATACAAATGTTAAAAAATTATTAAATGGTACTCCCTCTATTCCTTCCTTATTATGAACAACATAGGACTTTATTACATAAATCAAAAAATTAGTTAAAAACAATAAATATGTAAAAATTAAACATTTTTTTTTCTAAAATACCTTTATTTATAGGGAGAGAGAATATAAGAAAGAGAATAAAACAATTATTATAATAAAAAGAATTATGAGAAAACAGAAAATGTGTGATAAAGATAGATAATAGTTTAAAAAATAATACAATAAATATATTGAATATTAAAATAAATAATTACTGGGAGACAATAAAAAATTTGCTGCAAAAATTTAAAATAACTTATAAATGTTATTTATATTTAGGAAGAAAAAAAAAGATGATGGTGGTCACTTATTAAAAAAGATAGAGGGAATGTCACTGTAAAATTTAATAAAATTTGACAAACAACTGTATTTTTAAGCAAAGATTTTTTCGCATCGTTAACTTCTTTTATAATTTTATTATCAGTAATCATTCCCACGTCACATCGAGTTTAGAACTCGCGACGAGTTCATGACATCAATTGGCCCAAAGAAAAATTTTGATTAAGCAAAAAGGAACAAAAGCAGCATGATAGCTTGTCTTTCTTAATCTTGGAATCAAAAGGTTAAATCACACCTAAAGCGGGGAAGTATCTTTTTAGACTTATCCCCACTTTTTTTACTGAAAAAAGGGAATATCATAATTACCCTTATTTTGGTGAGAAAAATAAAAGACTCTCAATAATAAAGGATTAAACATATTCAAGACTAACTAGAACTTGATTGAAATTTCAAGGTCAAAGTGAAAACATTTAAAAAACTCAAAATTCCAATATCAAAGTGATAAACATCTTCAATAACAGCAACCTTGAACAGGAATTCATTTTGTAAAAGGTGAAAACAATTGAAGTTAAATATCTCATTTCAAGGAATAGAATTTCAATCTATACTAGCACCATAATATCATTTTGGTAAGGGAAACGAGAAAGAGATTGATAGAAAAACAACGGGCATACTAGCACCATAATGTTGCTTCCGGAACCGTCATGGTTTAGCAACAAAACTTAATCGAATTAGGATTGGGTACGATCATCACTTATGAGCATAAATTTGCGCTTCAGTCTTGTAAATATTATAAAAAAAAGTTGATTACTCCGTAAAGCTACTCCCCAATCCAGTAATTCAATGTTCATTGTCAGACCAATGAAAACGCCAGGCTATTTTGAACGCTTCATAAACTTGAAACCCCAACCCAGGAAAAAGAGCCAAGTTTGGAGAAACAATCCCCAACCCCTTTACAGATAGCTGGGGTTTATGTACAAGTTAGCACAAAAATTAGATTCAACGAAAGAATCTATTCAAGCATCCAAATATTCAATAGCCCCTACAATAAATGGTGTGAAGATCCACCCCCTCCCCCCTAAAAAAAAAAAATAATAATGGGCAGACTTCAACCAAGTTCTAAGGCAAAAAACCTGGTCGTTCGGCCTTACAGATGAGGAAACTGGACTTGAAATCACCAGATTATCCCCCTGATGCTCTCAAGAAAACTACCCTAAGCGTCAACAGAATTTAGCACGTCCCATGCAAGATAGGTTAATTGGGCACCACACTTCAATATGATGGGATCTCCTACGAGCCATTAAATGTAAAACCAAAATTATAGACGCCATAAACTCTCAGTAAACAACCAAATAGTCTTACAGTCTTCTCATTTAAATGAAAGCAACTACATATTACTCGAGACAAAAATGACAGACGTACTGAGGCCATAGAAACTGTTAATAATTGTCCAAATGCTTGCCCCCACAATAAAAACCTCAAAACCCTATAATTAATTAACCAGATTTAGAAAACAACGATCTACCGGAGACTTAAGCTGTGGCGGCGGCGGCTCCCTTCTTCCTGGGTGCGGCTTGAGTACCTGAATCAAAATACCCCGAAGAACAAATCAGTGATAATTATAACCCATCAGACATTAAACCCCATCACTGCATATTAAGATAGATATGATTTGGCATACCCTCTCTGAAACCGCTCTTGAACCTTCGAGGCACGTTACGCAAGTACCTCATCCGTCCACTTCCTGTGGTCTTTCTACGGATTGCCTTCACGCTCCAGTTATCTGAGAATCGTAATCAGAAAATGATATAATCGATACCCACAAAAAGATCGAACTGGCGATCACACGCATCAGAATTCAAAGATAATGTCTTAATCTAATGTAAAGAGATATCAACTCGTTAACCAAGCCAATCGATCCATGAAATTCAAAGGAAGACCTACATTTCCTCTTGCGAGCAGCGGGGTAAGCACATGCCGCACAGCGACTCTTCTGGAGATGAAAGCTGCGACGGCCACATCTCACACAGAGAGTGTGGGTCTTATTTCTCCTCTTACCAAAGCTTCCTGTTCCCTTCCCCTGCGTTCCATTTAAGGCGCCACAAAATTAGTCCAAATTCAGCATAAAAAAAAGAAAAAGAGAACCTTCAAGAAAGGCACAGGCACGTTGTTCATTAAACATCAGTATAAGGGAGGGAGGGAGCATACCATTGTCACCCCGAAACCCTAGATTCAGCTCCAGCCGAGGAAGTATGGAAGAATAAGAAGCGGCGTTCAGGATAGGCTTTATACGAGCGAAATGAAAATGGGGTTCTAGGGTTCACTTATGAGGCGAACCGGTCCTGAGTTCAGGCCCATGGGCCCAGTTCATGAGACAAGCAAAGCCAACCCTTAACTTGGCTTATTGGACCCTTATTGGGCTTCCTTGATGGCTTTTAATGTTTTTGCCAACGTTTCTGATGCTATTTGCAGTATGGAAAAAGTGAGTATTTAATATCAAATGTTATTTTTTTATTTTCTTTAAAAATATATGATCAAAAATTTATCCTTTTATCACTCCAAATTAATTACCAATTGATCAAATGGCACATTTTTTATAAATAAAAAAATTTAGTAAATAGGAATGCTTATTTCGTTTCTCCACTTTTTTTTTTGGGTACAATGTTTCTCCATTTAACCCCTTTGTAACAGTGTTATCAAAACTGGACCGAAGCAGCTGGCGATATGTCTGGTCTCAAACATCTTAAAACAAGTCAAAATTGATCTAATGGGTTTTTCTTATCCTTTTTTGACGAAAAACATTTTTCAATAACTCAAAATCACGTTATTTTGTGTTTTTATTTGTATTTGAGTTAGTTTTTATATGTATACTACATCCAATTCTAAATATAAGGCCTAATTTATTGTGTAAATAGCATGATAAATTAGCTATTATATTTGGGACTGAATGGTAGTATATAAATAAATATATAATAAAAAAATCAATAAACAACTTTTATAAAGACATAAAGTGAAATGAAAATACTATTTAAAAAAAGCTTATACTATCTCTGGTCCTTAATACAAAATGTTGTTTGACTTTTATTTTTGGCATAATTATAAGACCTCAATTAATTTTGTTTCTTATATTTATTCATTTTCTTTTCAAAGTAGTCTTTCTAATAATAGTAGTTCTAGTCAATACACTTGATTAGTAAGGATATTTTAGGAAAGACAACACTTATTTATTACAAATAATTAACTTATATTATTTTTTTAATTTACTCAAATTAATCAACTAGCTCTTATATTTAGAACAGGAGTTAGTATTTTAGAATAGAGGAACAATAAAATTTCAGGGGCCATGTTCTCCTTTCCTTAAAAAAATGTTTTTTTTCCCCTCTTATTGGAACAACTTATGGCATACATTTGAATCACTAGACAACCTTCATGACAAATTTGTCAATTAGGCTCCTTGCTTGAATTAATGATCCGCATTGATTTTCAAAGGTAGTATTTGGTAAAATTGGTATTTTTAAATTTTACCCAAAAAATTGTATTTCAATTTATCAATTTTTTTTCACATTGCACAAGAAAGAGCTTATATTTGTAGTTTTTCTTTCTATAAAACCTAGGTTGGTGGAGAGGAAAGAGTGGATAGCTACCTCACTGCATTACGAAAGCAAGCTTTTCTTTTCTTTTCTCTTTTCTTTTAATGCTTATCTTTATGTCGCACTTCATTTTCATAATGCAGAGTGATGCGATTGAGTTTGAGCATAAAAGGATTTCATGGGCACAACTGAACTTTGATATGCCAGCAATCTCATGCTACACTATACTATTATTTCAACTTATTTTTGCAAATTAAAACTGAAGTGAAAGTGCATTATCACATAAATACTTCTTAAATAAGTATATTTTTTCTAGGTATAACTATCTTTCTATTAGAGACAATCTTATTCAAGATACTGTCGGATACTTCTCCCAACAAGGATTTAAACATTGGTTCACCATGTTGTAAGAGAATAGACTTTTTCATTAGACCCAACCCTTATTGTTACTTTTTAAATTAGTAAGGCACTTTAAAATAATTTTAACTAGGTATTTTAGAGCGATATTAGCTTTTTTTAAAAAATCCCTCTTCTTTCTTATGCATCGGAAATTCAGCCTTTTCTTGTGGTGGCAACCCCTCTTCCCCCCCCCCCCCTCTCTTGGGAGCAGTCGTGAATGAACAATCTGGTAGAATTTTAACTTATTTTCACTTCTTGCTTTCTTTTCTGTTGCACCTCTTTGCAATTTTCTTTTAGAAATTTTTTTTTGATATGCCACTAAGTAAATTCGATTCATGGGTCCCAAAGGTTTCAAATTTGATTAACAGAAAAAAAGTTAGTAGGCCATTAATTGTAATAATCTTTTATTTATCCCCTACCTTTAGCTTTGCATCTTAATCAATATCACTGCACTTTCAACAGCAAATAGTCAAAGCATCACAATATTTCTTGATCATTCAGGGCCAAAATCTCATGCTTTATTTGTTTATTCAACATCTTTTTTTTCTTTTCCTTTCACTGAAAATGATTGTTAAGTTTGTCCATATCCCAAACAATCTTCTTATTTCAAGTAATAAAAAATAAATCATCAACTCTAACACTAGGAAGTCCATTGATTCTTCGAAAATCCTTAACTCCAGGAGGAACAATCATCAAATCAGAGGACAAAATCTTTATTTGGTCTTGGACCCTAAAGATTGGGTCAGTCCAGTGCCAAGAACAAAGGGTTGAAGGTAAAAACCTACACATAAGACGCATAACACCTGTGAAAAATTAGGAAGAATGATAATTAGGGACCTTATAGGAAGTCTAATATTAAATCAAAACCTCATCACAACTAAAGTTTCCAAATTCAGTACTCTTTTTCCTTATATTTCAGCATTGAAACCTTTAAAAAGACCAAATTTAGTATTAAGTTTCTTATGAGATACCTAGTTGTCATTCTCCCTTAAAATTATTCACTTTTGCCTTTAGGTATCTTTAAGGAACTAGTCGAATGCTTCTTTATCTGTAAATCTGATTCAAGGCAGAGTTGGAGTTGGAGAATCCATAAACCTAGAGAAAGCATTGCCTTCTCAGAGTAGAACCACAAATGCTTCCCAGAGAAAGCATTAGCAAGACCAAGTTTTTCCTCCACAAAACTCTTCAAAATTTCAAGTCCTTCTTCTTTGGTGAGTATCAAAAGCTACCCAGATCATTTTCCTTCAATCCTTTCTCTCGTAGAAGTGGCAATGCCGAGACCTACACAAGCGAACAATTCTACCTTGAGTTTTATGATCAGTGGCAATCTGAACTCAGGAGGTTAAAGATGATTGAAGAAGAAAATAGCATCATCATATCAGGGTTGAAATCAGAAGAGCCAGAGATATTGGAGAATGCAGCTGAATCTACTGAAGCCGTAATGGGTTTTGTGAAGCAAAGTCCAGCGAAGAAATGCATTGAAGGAAAAGAAGAAGGAGAAGAAGATAGAGGAAAAGAGAAGAACCAAAAAGAAAATCTGAGTTTAGCTAAGGGAAATGGAAGAGGAAAAGTTCAAGTTTTAATACAGAAGATGAAGGAAATGGAGATGATGGATGTTGATGACGTGGAGCACTTACTGGACATAGAAGAGGCACTCCATTACTATTCTCGCCTCAAGTGTCCAGTTTACTTAGATGTTGTGGACAAGTTTTTCATGGAGATGCTCTCTGAGTTCTCTGTTCCTCCTCGTTTACCAGAACCAAACTCTTAAATGGATACCCGCATTACAGAGTGTTTATGTACATGAAATCTGTTTCATCTTACTATGTCATGCCTCCCATTTTCCATCTCATGGTGTGCTGTGTGGTTGACTTGTTTGGTTTGAATTCCCACAAGCTATGGAAGTTTTCTTTTTGTTTTTGGGTTCCAATAGTTTTCACTGCATCCTTGAATTCTTGTTAATTTATCAATGAAGAAAGTAAGAAACATAGGATTAAGATGGAATTTAAAATATTATTCAGTTATTTGAAATGCGTGAGAAATCAGAAAACACAAGTACAGTCATGGCATCTTAGAAACCTTAGCCGTGAGCATGAGGCGCCCGTATGGGATGTTAGAAATTCAAACAAGGATGGAGGGAGGGACATTGTCTCGAATCTAGTGTAAAGCATATATGCATGCCTTTAGAAAAACCCACCTCCCAAGAAAACACACATTCTCTCTAAATTTCGGGCAAACTACAAGTTTATGATCTTTTTAAAAAATTATTTGCAGGTGAAATACGCATATAACACTCTCTCAAATTCTAAAGATAAAAACTATTTTTCACACTTTTTTATTATAGATGTAGGACCCTTTACAAAGTATGATACAATATTTATTGGTTATTACCAAATATAAAATTGAAAAGGTTGGTGAAAAAACAGGGTTTACCTATTATTATCTCATTTTTTCAATAAATATAAAAATTTAATAGAAATGGGTTCGAAAGAAAAAGGAAAGATTATTAACTATCATTAGCTGCCTTTCTTAATCCACAAGATTTGTTTCATATGATCCTGTTTTTAGAATTAAACGGAATGTATAATTTAAAATCTATAACTTAGATCCATACAAAACACAAACTCACAAGTCAAAATCTATTTTTTTTATCCTTTGGGATGTTACCAAGTACAGTAAGAATTATGATATATTATTATTACCATAGCAACGCTTTCAGCAATGCACATCAGGAGGTATTTACAGCTGCAGAATATGCCTCCAAGCTGAATGAATAAATTCTTAGCAGTTTCCCATAATTATCTACTTCCGAATAAGCAGTAGACTATTTAATAATAAAGAATCCGTTCATAACCCCCAGACATCAACATAGAGCTTTATACATGAATGCTGAGTAAAGATAAAGTGAAGACTTTCAGCTTCTGGTCCCAGGGAGAATAATCATGATACAGAATAATTATGACTCATCTAGCATAATGCCGCCTGATATGCCGGATCTCACGTAATCTCCAACTGAACCGCAGAAATGCATGGTTTCACATTTAGTTTATGAAGCACATAACTTTTTCCTTCCTTGCTAAACGATGTTAGTAACCAGCAGCGGAAACCAAAACATTATGCTCCTTTAAGCGTTTCTGGAAGTGAGCTAAACGATCTTGCAAGTGCAGGATACTAGCAGCCTTCTGAGATAGAATGGCGTTTAATCTTGTTACATAGTCATCTAATTGATTGCCTGGTTGATCAGCTTCAACCAAGAGATTCATTTCCTGTAAGCATATGTGCATAAACATTAATTATAAGCAAATGATGAACTTCCTGGACCCCACCTCTAGATTGAATGATGCAATGGGGAGGAACACTATAGAACTTTTTTCTCGGAGCCATTCCTTTTCTAGGATGAACACTAGAGGCAGTATGCGGCTTACTGCCTGACGACCAAGTTTTTATTATTATTTAGACGGTAGACCAGGTGCCAAATATATACTTGCTTCTTTTGCCAACAAAAAATCTCTAGAAAGTGTGCGCTGCTCTTTCACAAGTCACTGGATGAGACTTCAAGCACATTATTTATCCAAGACCCGTGAAAAAGCAACAAGATGAGAAGCATGCTCCAGGCGACTCAACATTTAATGTAAAGGCATTTACAAAACTAGCGGAAATTTCAAAGTTTGACGCACATGGCTCAGTTGCATTCTTGACAAGACATCTAAAAGAATGCCGAAGATATCAAATTTATATACCTCTCTGACAATACTCATGGTATCTTCTACTTGTTTCCTGTGAGCATTTACAAGGTCCTCCTCCTCCTGAAATTACAAATAGGAAAATAAACATTATCTAACAACGAGCTCTAGACTTTGCCGTATGATAACCATTCTCTCAAGAGTTACCTGGAGGAGGGTATTCAAATCATCATCTGAATGTGTAGTGGATTCAACTTTTGGCACGTCTTTCCATCTGACCTGACCATTGGGCTTCTTTAACTTGTCCTGAGCAGTACTGTATGATTCTATCTTCCCATTTTTCTTCCAGGAAGGTTTCCCCTGCTCATAGTACTCTTCAGACGGACTAAATTCATCATCCTCATCTTCTTCAGGCCATGTATCTGCTGCACGGTCCTCATAGGTTGACGCAGTAACCGCAGATAAAGGCATGGTAGTTGATTCTTTAGGGTTGAAATTTGAAGATAAAACTTCCTTTTTAGGATTGTTCCCTTTTGACAGGCTTTTCACCCTGGATTTTCATTCAGATTGTAAAAGCAAAGACATAAATTTTTCTTTTCTCATTTATCATAGCTATAGTTGTTTCGTGCCATTGTGAAGCATGGGAGGTTTGAAGGAGGGAGATGCTGAACCATGAAAACAATCAGCATTACACAAAAATAAAAAATTAAAAAAAAAAAACTTAATTACCTGTCAGCATATCTTAATGTGTTAAGCGTATGTTCACACGAGCCAGAGCTTGGTGATATGCATGAAATCATAACAGTGCGGGAGTTGCCAACAAATGAATCCCTCAAAACCTCAGTCAATTTGCTGCCTCTGAAAGGGATATGTCCCTGGTCATTATCTAGAGCTCTTATGCACTCCTTCAAGGCAAGTAAGCTCTTATTGATCTCAGCTCCTTCAATTCTGCATTATAAAATTTTAAACAACCAACGACAAAAACAAAACTGTTAAGAGGTTTCCAAACAACTGAACCGTGTTCTATACACTAAAGTTTACCAGGTGTCAAAATGCACGAGTAATATATAAAGCTTGCAAGGGCAAAGAGGGGGAAATTAATAAGAGATCAATGGCTATAATCTCAAGTATGATATGTATTTGTTATGTTCACATATTGCAGCAGGACAAACTCCATAGATGGGCGCAGGAAACTGGAGTTGATAATAAAGTATAGGACCAGATTTGCAGTACTAAAATCAAAATTTCTATCAACAAATTACCTTGTGGTTACAATTTTTTGGGAATGAAATAGCACAGAGCCAAACCAACAAAGCAGTTAAGCTTTATTGTTGAGACTTTTAGGTCAAGTAAATAAGTAGATATGTTAACACATCTTATCCTGCTTCAAGCTCATCAAGCCTACCTTGTCTGTTTGTCATTGTCTGTGGTATCAGCTCCACGTTCACTTCCAGCAAGATCTATGAAGGAGAGCTTGCCAACAGGACGGGGAGGCTTGGATGCGTTACCATCAACTAACCTCTTGATGGCAAGCTGAAGTATTGCATGTGATCGAGAAGATTCCTCATTTGCACCTGTGGTGCCAGTACTTCTTGTGGCACTTCCTTTCTCAATCAACTCTTTGATGGTCTCTACATCCGATACTCTGTATTCTTGCAAACCCACAATGCAAACTTGCTGCTTTCCATCCTCCCTCATGCAAAGTTTTCTGCAGAAGTAAATTTCCTCATGAGGACGCGGTTACAGACAAATGCTAAAGAAGTAAGCATCAAACTGACTTACTTTCGATCATTAAGGAGGTCAAAGAGCTTCCCACCATATATTTCAAAGAAACTCACAAACAACTGAAATCCCTGGTTCCTGTAAGTATGGTGCATCAATCTCAAGATGTCCCTTGATGCCTTAAGCGGAAGTGGCTTCATTGTGTATGTTTTTCCGCTACCTATTTAAGTAGAAAACAATACTTAGAAGTTTATTTAGGATCTAACTTGATTATAATACATGCCAACAGTAGTGCAAGCCATCGAATTCCTCTGGACATGAAACCTGTTGTAGATTTTAAAACTATCTCAGGTTTGTTTTGGCATCAAGATGGTGCATGAGTAATATAAAAAACCTGGGTAATATCTATATCACCCAGGAACATCTACTTGTAAAATTGTGCTTAAAGTAAATAAAAGAGGTAAAACTGAAATAATCATATATTTCCAGATCAACAATTTTTTTGGTTGGTAATGAACAGAAAAATGAAAAAATTATACTGAGATAAAAGATATGAAGTGCAAGTATCACTTCTTAAATTCACAGAATGATGTGCTAAAGCTGGCTTGCTGCTATCACCTGTTTGCCCATAAGCAAAGCAAGTTGCCTTCGTGCGTTGAAAGATTATTGGAACTATGGGCTCCACTGTTTCACAATAAACCTGAGAAGATGAAAATGTTAATATAATAGGAACATATATTTCCCTTTTTTACTCATTTGAACATTTGATACATAAAGGTACCTCATCATTCGTAACCTCTTCATTCAAGACAGCATCAAAAACAAATTCGTGCTTTTCTACATATTGAGTCAAGTCAACCTGCAAAGAATTCAAATTTTAAATTAAAATCTTCTAATATAAAGCATTGATTAGAATCAAACTGTCAAGCCAAAAAGTTCTTATAAACACAAATTAGTGAAGGAATATGCGAATAAAATTACAAACCAAGAAGCTTAGATAATAGCATCCTCAAATATTGAATATTGCTCAAAGTCAAGGATAAGCATACCGCATTTCAACTATGGATATTACTTCTCATCCTCTTGCCAGTTACACTTACCTTAAGTTTAGTTTCATGCACTGTTAAAGAATTGGAGTATGTTTCTACAATATCTTCCTCATTCTTTGTTAGCTCCTTCTTATTCAATGGTCTTTTGCGCACCTGCATTCAAATCATGACACCCAAATGTTAAAACAAAATTAAAGATGCAAGCAAAGCTCAATGTTGTAGGACGAATCTTAATCTTCAGAGTTGAAGGAATTTGTTAATGAAGTTATTTAGTTTCTTTTTTCTTTTTTTTTTTGGGGGGGGGGTGGGGGGAGGTAATACTATACAGGCAAACAGTCCATAAACGCTTCAAGGGAGGAATGAATCCACGGATCAGAAATTAAGAGGAGAAAACAAATGGGTAAATTGGATTTAAGAGAGAACATACCACAACTTTAATTTTTGC